GAAATCGCACCGCGCGGCCGGAGATGGGTAAAGACCTAATCTGATCACTGGGTCTTGCACCCACAGCGAGAGCTGCTCTGTTCCTCGGGTCCCGAGGCTCCACTGTCTCAATCATCACCCGTGTCCCGTCTGGCTTCCTAATGGACAATGTTTGGCTCCCATCAGGTCGCTCTATCGTCACCGCATGCACGTGGCTCAGCCACGTTCGACCCAAGAGCAGGTCGGAGCTGCAATTCTTGACCGCAAAAACAGGCAGGGTCACTCTTACTCCTTGGACTTCTATGGCTGCCTTATGACAAACCCCAGTGATCTGTTGCTTTCTCCCATCAGCCGTCTCTATCTCGAACAGGTACGACCTGTCGAGGCCCAGTCCAAACTGTACTGCCAGGTCCTCGTCTATGATGACAGCCTCACTGCCGTTATCGATCACAGCATCGAGTATCGTTCCATCGTTTATAATCGTCTCCACGGCCCCGCTACCAAGTATATAAAACTTGGCTGGAGGCACACCTTCCATTCCATCGAGAAGGACTGTCGTCATGCGATCCGCTCTGGCAGTCACCCCCGTTATTGTTACTGTAGAAGCTTCCGCCTTAGGGGCGCCCATATCCCCCTCCGATAGAGGTATGCGAGTCTTCCGCGTGATGATCTGTAACTCATCACGAGCCGGCTTCGATGCCGCCAGGTACTCCAGAATAGAGCACTGCATGGGTTGCCGAAGGGCCCGCCTCAGTGGCTCGATGGTGTCAATCTCGTCCAGCGAACTCTTCATTAAGAACTTCTTCACTCCCCTTCTTCGCGGCGAAAGGATAACCTCCTCTCCATCGACCCGCTGCCCGTCCTTCTCCGTCATCACGTAATCCGTGTCAGTCTTCTTCGATGTAGWCCCTCTTGCCGRCTTGGTGGCTGCCACCCTTATGGGTGTGGTCGCGATATCCCCCTCAAAGATTATCTTGATGCTCTGGCTCCTGACCGGCTCCATTCCTTTACTCGTCTTTATTCTCCTTGCTTCGACATTCTCCTTCATCGAAGGGAACATCGATACATCTCTTAGATCATTTGCCCACTTGACGTACTTGCGGTCGTCAAGCACGACAAGTCCCTCATCTATTGCCCGTTTGAGGTCCGGACAATCGCTCTTGATATGATCTTCTCCTCTACAGTAGACGCATGAGTTCCTGGGAGTAGATGCCCTGTCGTCTGCACCTCTAGAGATCGAATTCCTGGCCGCCTTGGGGTCAGGCGACTTCGGATATGATTCTGATGAGACGCCATATCCCCCTCTCTCATTCCGACCACGCGAATCATTGCGCCGGTCTCCTTCAGATCCTCCTTGCTCATACCGCCCTTGCGAATCATTTCGGCGGTCCCCCGAGTCATATCGTCCTCGTGACTCTTCGCGTCGATCCTCTCGGTTGTACCACCCCCGCGACTCGTCGCGCTGCTCTCTCGCATCTCCCCCACGCTCAAACCGTCCGCGCGACCCATCTTGTCGTCCCCAGTCCCGATCTCCTCTTTCATATCTACTTCCTCTGTAGCCATCTCGATCCGACCTCTCGTATCTGTCGTCCCTATATCCATCTCGATCCGGTCTCTCGTATCTGCCGTCCCTCTCCCACTTGCCGCGGAAGTCGCCTCTGCCCCGATCGGCCTCATAGCGAGGGCTTCGGGGGTAATCATCTAGCCTCCTTGCTCGCACAAACAGCTCGCGATCTTTGCGGTCTCGGTCTATCCCATCGTCCCTACGTTGCCATAATTCATCGTCTCTCTCTCTTCCCCTCGTACGATAATCAATTTGCGTCTTAGGATTTCTATCCTCGACAGTCCTCCAGGGATCGTTATTCCTACGGTCCCAGCGAAGTGAATAGGGCCCTCCAGGTTTGTCCCGGTAAGCCGTGGCCCCTGTGGCGGTCACAATCTCTGTAACCTGTCTTGTTAATCCCTTCACCATGTCCCGTATCTCCTTCACTTCCTCAGCCACGGCCTCATTTTTCTCCGACCAGGGATAATCCTTGAAATCAGGACATCTATCAGTGGCATACTGCTTGTAGAGAGAGAAGTCACGTCTCCTCATCCCTCTCCACACCAAGTCCTTGTAATCGTC